TGTTAAAAGTGCTTTTACGTTTATTTTTTCGAGATATGCGACATTTTAGAGGGCATGTGGCGCAGTGGTTAGAGGTGCTCTGCGTCACACACGAGGTCAATGGTTCGATCTCGCGCTCATGGCTCACCGAGCCATCCATCCCTCAGGGGTCGGTAAATTGGTATCACGCAGGTTTCAGACTTGTCCAGGAGAATAAGCAGCATTGACTCGGTTCAGCGGGTGGCCACCGCGAGTCATTGTAAAGGCCAGATATGCATTCAATCACCTCAAACGAAGTTAAAAATTGAAGTCGAATGCATGGCACATCCCTCAGGGATTGATCAACGCCGAGAGCTTTATCCTTCTTATCCTTTATGCGGCATTTTATTGGTTAATCGTAAGAAACAATGCTTCGTATCTTTCAAAACTTGATAGTTATTCTTCACCGATAATTTATTCTTTTCTTTGCTGAAAAATTATTCGTGTTAAGTTTAGACAGTGTTCTATTGGGTCAAATTTCGAGGAACTTCTGTTCAATGCTTATCGTTCTAAAAATCCCTATTCATTTTACGATAACTCTAAGTGATTCTAACCTATATAGCCTGTATTAAGCTGTATTAGTATATAGCAACTCATCTGTGCTCACTCTTACTGATTTCGCAGAAAAATACAAAAACTGAATAAGCATAAATTTTAGCTTAGATAAAATTTCCATTCCTTCGTTTTCAGCAGAATTCGTATAGTCAGACAATTTTTGCTCCTTATTAAAAAGTTTTCTTACTGGGCCTACCTTTTTTGGTGACTTTCCTTTTTTTATGATTGATGGGGGCGAAACATTTGAAGATCGGCCAGTAGCTAATCTTCTCAAAGACCTTTGTCATTGAATCAAATCATGCGAACTTGATGTGCACAAAAAATCTGCTCTACATATTAGCATAATAAGTTTCTAAGCTGTGTTCTTCACTGTATCCAAAAACTAAGCTTTGAACTTCATCATATATATCTTTTTACTTTTTTTCCTACCATGTGGTGCTTAATACAAAAGTTTACTATAATCACAATAGACCGTAACGTTATGCTTAACATAAAACAAATCACTTGAGGGTCACATTTGGAGCCGGCTTGTGTATCGTCCAAGTTCGACTCATACAATGTGATATTTCCTTTGCGATCGCCGATAAACAAAACCTGTTATTTTACACAGTTAATAGTTTTCTTGTTCTTCATCACCCTTTTAAGGAAATCTCTAGAAACAGTTGAAACAAAAATATTATGAACTGGATTTTGGAAAAAATCATTTACTGTAGCTATGACAAGTCTAGTGAAATCCTTCACCTTTGAAGTAGGCTTTGTTCAGATTGGCTCACACGTAAGCATTCTTATTATCGAAAACGCACCATTCATATGAATTTTTGACTATCGGCTTGGGAAGTGTTGATATGGAAAACGCAGTTACTAAATCATCATCCTGAGATAGTCGCTCTGCAAAGCTTTTCTTTCATCAACAGTATCAAAATCGACGTTTCTCAAAACTTCATAATTTCAGAATACTTGAGAAAAAAGGTCATGATAGTAGTAGAGAAAATGAGAAAGAAAAATTCACACGACGAAAAGTTTGTAACATCTCTAATCTTCAAATATTTTGTGCAGGCTCCTGAAAGAGATTGCTTTGAATGCTATGTCAACTTTGAGACTGCGCTTTGCCAAATTTATGCGTAATGAAATTCAGATTTTCAAACTTGTAACATTTCCAATTACTTCTCATTAGAAGGCAGCCAAGAAAAAAACGTGCTACTGTAGAAGCATTCTCAAAAAATTTATCTTTTTCTTTTCCAAATAAGCTAGCTCTGCTTTTCCTGATGCAGGATTTGCCCCGAACGATATTCACGCCCTGGTTAATTAACTTATAAGTCCTATTAATGACAACGTCGTAGTGGCATTAGTATTGATCTGGCAGAATAAATAATCTTGACTCTTCCAACTACTTTTTTGATATTATCGCGCTATTGTTTGGCCCTCAAAATCGGAAAAATTTTTATGACCGGCTTGGGGAGCTTCAAAAATGGCTTCAAAGGGACATACTTACAGTATCCACAATGAATATAGGGGTCGTGCGAGGTGCTGAGGATTGAACATTGAGAACACGAGTGAGCATTGGTGCAAGGCTCAACACACAAAATCATTATGGGAATTAGTCCTAGTTGCTTTAGAGCTGGATTTATTAACCTTTTTGGATGCACACATAATTACAGTTGAACGTAGCAGAATATTTAGAAGAGGCTCTACGATGCAAAGGTGGTCAGGTCTACTCCAACTCCGATAACTCATCACGCCTTCCATTTCACCGCATTGAGATCGGAAGCTGGTGCAATACTTCCTTCGCAGGATAGCAACACTACTGTGATATATCGAAGGCCAGCGCAAATCATTTTATAACGCAGGATGCAATCAGCCACCCCTAACGAAGCGGAACGCTTCATTGCCTATCATTATCGTGGCACAATATATTCGTACATTTGTGAACATGTTTATGTACGTGAGTTCTACCTTGCACGTTAGTGCAACTAGAATGCCTGTGATCAGATAGTCAAAAAATACTTGATACTTGAATGGTCTGTCTTCACTAATTGTGCCGACCCCAGCCCATGTTCCATTCGTCTCTCTGCTGCGCGACTGTCGTCCATGACGGTGGTCTAATTTGAGCATGACGCCTGCTTCGAGTGTCATACCATGAATCAAGAAAAATCGACAGCTGCGAGTACAGCTTCCTAATTTTTTTTAACGAACACTTCCGCTCAACGTGTATGTAGTCGTCCTCGGGAAGCGCACATTGTCGTCGAATCCACTCTACAGTACTTCTCGTCCAACTGTCGTCCATTCTTCTCAGTATAGAAACGGCCCATCCGTGTTTCGCGATCTCTGGGTCACGAAGATGGGATAGACTTCGAAGATCTGAGCCACACATGTCGAGAAGTTGTGTGCGCCGATTGAATTTGAGAAGACATCCCTTAAGCGCTCTGTGAGTTTTACGTAGTATCTAACATCGTTCACGCGCTCTGTGAGATGCCCGTAGCAGTTTCGACGTAGTCGAATTATCAGCACACGTCTCAGTGCATAGCAGAGCGCCAGGAATACCGTTGAATCGGAAAGGTGAGCACGAAATTTTGGGAATGTTAGCTGGTTGATGACTTCTTTGAGAGGTTCGAATGCGGGCCCGTGCAGCTCTTTTGCTTTCTATCTAGTTACTCCTTCAAGTTGTTTTCCATGTTCAGTGAGTGCCCAAGGTGCACCTAGGAAGTGGTTTCTGCAATCAAGAAGCCATTCATTTTGACTTGATCACCACTGCACCATGGGTTCTTCATGAACAGGGTTTTCATGATATTGATACGTAATCCGATCTTTTTTCTCGCTTCGTTTAAATCTTTTGGCATCGTATCTGCTTCAAAGGTACTTTTAAAAATGACGACTTCGGCTACATAACAATGACGTTGCAGGAATTTTCCATTTAAACGAACTCCCTTTTTGTACCAATCGAGTGACTTTATTACCCACTGCAGCGTGGCGGTAAACAGCTTTGGCGATAGTATCACCCTGCTGAACCCCTTTGCCAGTGGGTATGGTCAGAGGTCGATGAAAAAGCTGTATTTTTGGGCGCAATTTCGATAGCAATCCGGCAAGGTTCTTATATAGAACTCCTTCATCGACGAGCGCTGATAGGGCTGCATAGGTTCGACAAGGGCATATGGTATTCCCAACGCACATCAGTGACTCGTGATACGGTTTGGATGTGGTCCATGCAGCAGAATCCTCTAAGGAATCCTGCCCGCTCAATTGGTTGGGTCTTATAAAAAGTTCTTGATATGCGCAGAATTATAATCTTCGTAATGAGCTTGTAGAGCACACTCAAGAAGAAAATTGGACGATAAATACGAAAATCTCTTCTGTCATGCTTTTCATGGAGGATGATTGTGGGCGAGGTCCTATATTGGTCTGGAATTTTTTCTTTCTGAAGGTGGGATGTCATATGTGTAGCGAGTAATGCATCTACGTTATATCTTCAACTCATAGAAAGTCGGCGGTGATGTTATTAGGTCCTGGAGCTGTGCCATTTCATATTTTCTTTCGCAACCGTGCTTCAGAAGGTGAAATCCGAAGTGATTTTTCTGCAGAGGGAGAAGAAGCTGGTGTAAAATTTTTTTCATTATCAATTCCATGTCATGGCGATGTCGTAGCATTCCCATCGTCATTCATCAGGGCTGCGAGCGGAACACTATAATCGCACAAGTTCCGCACAAGCAAGTTTTAAGGAAATTTTTTTTTTCTCCAGCAAAAGATGCTTGAGTGTGAATTCAAATTTTTCTCGCTGTTACAGCAGAATAAAGAGATTAAAAAAAATAAAGTGCACCATTATGATACATTGAGATTCTTGCAACTTAGGCTATGAAATAATAATTAGAATTTGATAAAAAACAAATAATATTTCTTCTCTAAGGGGCAGAAACAGTGTGGAAACATCGTTTTGCACTATGTACTTTAGAATGTCATTGAGTAATAAGAACTACTTGACGATATGTACCTGAATTACCACATCACTTGCATCCCAGTACTCCATAGAGGACCTAACAGCGCAGACAAGAAACGCAGGGCAAGATATCATCGTACTGGATAAGACGAAAGGATGCCAACGATCTGAAGCTCACTAAGACACCAGCAAACAACTATTTCATGGTACATACGAAAATAGAGACGTCATCGGCACTGGAGCTCGTCAACACAAGTGTGGTCACGAGCGCTGAATTTCTGTGGTATTAGTGAACTGATTTTAACTTTTACTATCGAAGACATAAGATTTGGTACAGCATTTGACCATCGTCGCCGTTTCCGTACCGAAATCAAGCCTTCCATAAAGTTTTATAATAAATTTTGAAAGTCTTACAGAAAAGGTCACATATTTTCCAACCTCATCGCTGAGAATTCAGCGCTGTGTTTTGACTAAGAGATTGAGTGATGAACAAAAACACGGCCTCAGGCGGGAATCGAACCCACTTTCCATCTTAAACGGGGACGCGCGCTCTACCACTACACCACTGAAGCGCGTTTGCCCGACCACTCATCATTGCTGTGTTTTGATCCAAAAACGCTTCTAATACCCATCGCCATAAGTCCCATGGATTTGAGAGAATCAAGGAGGGTAAGAGGCTGTCTGAGCAAAACATATCACAACTGTTTTTCGAGTTCTTCACCAAGACCACGCTCAAATTTCAATAGATCCTTTCATTATTATTTGATCCAAACTGTCATGTGGTCCGGTAAGGGCTCTTGCACAACTCGATAAACGTGTTTCGTCCTTACAGACTCGTCAATAGGGCAGAACTCGTTCAGAACCCAGACTATCAGGCAAAGAAAATCTTAGCAATTCCAACGGTGTACTTCGTTTTGATGAAGGACTTCTCAGAGTGTTGCAACCCAACAAAAGATGGTTAGGTTTCGTAAATTTGGATTGTTTTCAATGTCCGCATCCTGTTTTGACCTCTTAGGAAGAGCGCATTTTGTGATTTTTGTTGGAGTTATGTTAACCATTCGAGAATTTAAATCTTGGAAATTTTGATTGTATGCTTCATTCTTAAAATGGCTCCTTTAATGTGCTCTAGCAGCAAGAATCAAAATTTCTTTTAAACTCAGGCATTTCCCACTAAAGGTAGCTTTTCTGCTAAACTTGTAATAACTCTTCGATAGCTGAAATCTCGACAATTTCCACAGTCACCTTGTTCTTGGAAAAGCTTCTTAATGTACTGTAGCACTTGAAGGAACATTTCGTTTAGGAGTTAGCTGATATGTTGAACAAGGCACGGTGACTTGAGGTCATTTTCGCGAAATCCCAAACTTTGTAGCGCGAAACTCAATCTTCTTTTGACTACCACAGCTCACTAGGAGTCCTTTATTAAATAAAGCCGGTTCTTAAAATTGCTGAAATTTGCACTATCGAATGATTAATAATTGTTCATGAAAAAAAGCTTTATCCGGCGAGAAATCTTCAAATGTGAAACAAAATTTTATTTTGACTGTTATAGCGTAAAAACAAGCCATTTGAGAAATAAAACATACCATTCAAGTTCACTTAATTTCAGCGATCGAAAATACAAATAATCTAGTAAATGAGGTCTTTGGTAGAAAAAACCAAAGCCTCACGAGCGCCGACAGAAGTTATTTCCAAAAGTGGAGATTGTCATGACAGTTGAGCGTTATTCTCTTTATAAATACGTCCATATCTGAAAGAATCAAAATTTAACTATATCATCCCGAAAATTCCTCTTTCAATTAAAAAATTTGGATTGCGATTGCAAAACGTCATTTTTTATTCTAGTCACTAGAACGTATTGTGGTTGGATTATCATCAATTAACAAGCTTAATATTAGAGTCAGAATTTCGTCAAACTATCTGTTGAACTGCAAAAACATCAAGAAGATTTGAGAAAATGCTCAACAACAGCTGGGAATAAAATCATTTTCGCGCAACTGTATGGTTTTTTCTCTACAAAAAGAAAAGATTTTGAGCAGCATTTGAGTGAATCTTGCCAAAATTATTCATTCAAAAGTCTTATCACATTGACATCTTTTTCGCTGAGAACTTTATTAACCCGAATTTGTATTGTAGCACGCACCGCTCTTTGTCGTAACCCGTCCGAACGGCATGCCCAGCTGAATGTCATATCGACTCTCATCGCTCGCAGAGATGCAATCAAATGCAGATTTTGCCAATGATTTGTAGATGGCAGTGGATTTCATTTTGATCAGTGAAATTTGTTGTGAGAGGGCGGATAGCGCAATGCAATGGTGGCGATGCCTAACATCACGAAAACGGTACTAGTTTGACACAAGCCACTAATCATCTCTTCTTTGAATGGAAAACGCACTGTTTCGGCTATCCCATAATTTCAGAGAGAATCGACTTTACCAACATTTAAAAACATTCTAGACGAGGACGGGAATACTCAAGAAGCAGGCGAAATCACATGAGAAAGTTAAACTACCTATATGGATGATGGATACATGGAAACAAATTGATCGACATGAATGTTAGGATCCGCACGGTATATGCGAGAGACGTTCCATCTGAAATAATATATACACAGAAGCGAAAACAAAGCTGAGAAGCTTGCCATAAGTTTGGGTATGCTTGGTTGAAAAAACTATTTCTATTTTCAATATGACAGCTATCATACATTATCGTGCAATTACATTTGATTTCAATAAGCACTGCGATTTGTGTATAAACATCAAATCTCATCTTTATAGAAATCTTTGAACCATATTCTACTCGACTCCAAATTCCGGCGGTATATGATAGATTTCAAATTTCTCCCATACTAATGTACTTTATTAGATTTTTGTGCTTTGTGAAATTTTTTACGAAACTGAAGAGCTCTGAAACTTCATCACTTAAGTTTTTACAATGTTTCGATGTTTCCTTAGTTTTCCCTCTTTTCTCAAAAGTACTGTTTTTTTCCATGATAACTTCGTAATGCCAAAATTGCACCAAAATTAAAACAGTTTTATTGGATGAAACTTTTTCGTTTACTGGAGTCCTGATATAAAGAAAATTTTCACAGAAATAAGCATAAGAATTTATGTTGGACCTACATAAAAGAGCAATGTGAGACCGTTTTCATGTGTGATTAACCGCAATTTGATGTGAAATAATATGACTTTTCCGAAAGGTCCACTGTGCTGTCACCCTCGTTAGGCACTACTTGTTGGGTTACGGATACCGAATCATTCAAAATTATAATGACGCCTATCGAATGCGTACGGCTGAGAAAAAGAAAATTAATGACGACTTTGACAATTGAAGGAGGAACTTGACAGAAAAGTAGAGCAACATGGGTTACATTTGGGCGTCTCAAAAGGCCACCGACCAGATAGCAGACCTCAAACTCCGCAGCGAACACAGATGGACCGGTCATATAGCAAGAAAATCAGGTGACAGATGGACGAAATGGACTGCAGATTGTACTCCACCTAATACACTCACCCCGATGACGACTACCTAACGTTGGCTGGATGTGTTCGTTAGAAGAACCTATCAGATAATCTTGCAGCTGCCGATATTTTACAGATCACGGTATGCAACTCGCGTCAGTCGCCATGCTCGAATCAAATCTCCACCATGGACGACAGTCGCGAGAAGAAGAGACGAATGCAAAATGCGCTGGGGAACAAAATTTGTGGAAGTGAACCATCCAAGTATCCAATTAAATTCAACAGTTTATGCCGTCTCCTCAGGCATACCGTATTATGGCGAATTCGAGGTCAAAGTTTTCGGTAAAAATCCAAATCTATGCAGAGCGATTCAGACCTTATTCAAAATCATCATTCGCGGTTTGAACTCTGAAATCGAGCCAAGTACGCTTGGAGCACGTCACATCAAAAGTCATAGATTAGATAAAAAAAAAAACAAAGTGAGCGACTTCCTAGATTAATCGTGGCCATCAAGATGGTCCATGGTAGACCACAAGCATCATTTCCGTTACTGGCAGGGTTTTTTAAAGAAACATTCTTGCCAGACAAAGGCTTTCCATTAGACCATTACTAATTACTGAAACGCTTAAGTCTTGAAAAATTAGGATTGCACTCTTTAATCCACAAAGATCTACTTATAACGCCGTAGCATTTGAAACGATTTTGTGTATCACACAAGTCGCGAATTACTGTGGAGATTCTCGTTATTTATTTGAAAAAGATTTTGAGTTTTTCAATGTTAAAATCATAGAATAAACCTTGCCCTATCGCTGTTGCGCTTAGGCGTTCCAGTTTCGTCACATATTGCCAAACCCGTCACTAATGTTAAAGCTAAGTTTAAACCTGATCAACCTAAGCTCAAGCGCGAAAAGCATGAAATTGTGTAGGGTAAGCGTACAGGCACCAGGATCATGTGTTTTCTCTCGCTTTCTCGATCAAAGCGTAGAAATTTCTTAAATTGGTGAACAAAAACACCTATCACATGGAAATCGTGCCTGCGTGGTCATCTAAGGGTATCGTAGTGGAGGAGATGAAGTTGAATTTGCGCAGAGCGCTTGCATAAAACTTTTTTAGCATTATTAAAGCCTTTATCTCTCCAGAGCATTTGCACTGTACTTGTATGAGGGAGACCCACCTCTGATCCACCTATGCTGAGGACTGCTTCTAATACGAAATTGAAGATTTCCTAGCTAAGACCAAGTACCACTTTCTGGGGTTGTCGTTGAACACAATCATGAATCCGAATTCTTTCCTAAACGATAGATGTACGTGCAAATGCAACTCTCATAAACAAGCACTGAATTCAATAACAGAGAAACATTTTTTTTTTGTTTTGCTCAGGTTGCAATTTAATAAGGAAACTATGGAACTGTATTCCATAAAACTATATTTTTGATACCATTAATACTAAATTCTCTATGTATAGGAATTTTAGGCCTACGCCAGTTCAAAACATAGTATATTAGATCAATTTCTTGTTTTTTTAGGCGTCTAATCAATTTCTTTGATAACACAGTCAGACGAGTTTGTTCAAATTATAAATTCTTGTGAATTACACATTTCACAGATTATTTCGGTGCAGTAGGTGAAATTGATGTGATTATCGTTGGCACAGGGTCTTTTGGTTAGGTCTTACCCTACCTCAACTAGCCTAACAAACTTCTTTTGTCAGCGAATCAGATGACTCTTTTCTGGCAATGATTCTCCAGATCATGGAGTAGGTTCCTCTTGAAACACTTTTCCTCGACGTGTGAAAATGCCAGATATTGATTTACAGGGCTCTCTTTGAAGATCCCAGTGTAGGTCAGTTGCGTATTCTTGCATGTCTTTCAACATTTAAAGCTGCGTGTGCGCTTTTTTTCAATCAGTTGCCTTTTATTGCGTATTGTCTCGTAGTTTCTTTAACTCCGTCTATTGACCTGACTTTTCTCTGCAATTCTGGCGCTTGTGGCAACTATCTGTTCATACGCGTCTACGAAACCCTACGCCACAGAATCGTTTCGCTTTTTCCTTCTAAATGCCTTAACATATCTTTCATTATCATCATTTTTATTGTTATTATTACAATTATAGCA